ATTTCAACCAAATTTGGCATATAGCATCTATGCGTGAAGGGGAACAAAAATTGTGAATTTGGTGGTCCCCGCCCCCCTGGGGCCTGGGGGGTGGGGCAAAAACCACTAAAAATAGTGCAATCTTTAAAAATCTTCTTCTTTACTCCCGGACATCAAGCAGTCAAACTGTTGGTATGATTGTAATCAACATTGAGTCCTCTACCAAAATTGTGAAATTCATGCCCCCAGGGTCAGGGGTTCTGGTGTTAGGGAGGGGCTCTATTGATTATATAGTGAAAATGCAGTAAGTCTTTAAAAATCTTCTTCTCTGCCCCTGGGTATTAAATAAACAAATTAAGTTCATAGTTATGATGAGCAAGAGTGGCTCTACCAAATTTGTGAATTTTATGGCCCCAGGGTCAGGGGTTCTGGTGTTAGGGCGGGGCTCTATATTGATTATATAATGAAAATGCATTAAATCTTTGAAAATCTTCTTCTCTGCTCCTAGGCATTATATACACTAATTCAGTAAATAATTATGATGAGCAAGAGTGCCTTCACCAAAATTGTGAAATTCATGGCCCCAGGGTCAGGGGTTCTGGTGTTAGGGCGGGGCTCTATATTGATTATATAATGAAAATGCATTAAATCTTTGAAAATCTTCTTCTCTGTTCCTAGGCATTATATACACTAATTCAGTAAATAATTATGATGAGCAAGAGTGCCTTCACCAAAATTGTGAAATTCATGGCCCCAGGGTCAGGGGTTCTGGTGTTAGGGCGGGGCTCTATATTGATTATATAATGAAAATGCATTAAATCTTTGAAAATCTTCTTCTCTGCTCCTAGGCATTATATACACTAATTCAGTAAATAATTATGATGAGCAAGAGTGCCTTCACCAAAATTGTGAAATTCATGGCCCCAGGGTCAGGGGTTCTGGTGTTAGGGCGGGGCTCTATATTGATTATATAATGAAAATGCATTAATTCTTTGAAAATCTTCTTCTCTGTTCCTGAGTATTTGATAAACTTACTAAGTACATCATTATGATGAGCAAGAGTGCCTTCACCAAAATTGTGAAATTCATGGCCCCAGGGTCAGGGGTTCTGGTGTTAGAGCAGGGCTCTATTGTTTATATAGTGAAAATGTATTAAATCTTTGAAAATCTTCTTCTCTGCTCCTAGGTTTTAAGTAAACTAACTAAGTAAATAGTTATGATGAACAAGAGTGCCTCTACCAAAATTGCGAAACTCATGGCCCCAGGGTCAGGGGTTCTGGTGTTAGGACGGGGCTCTATTGATTATATAGTGAAAATGCATTAAATCTTTGAAAATCTTCTTCTATGCTCCTAGGTTTTAAATTAACTAATTAAGTACACAGTTATGTTGAGCAAGAGTGCCTCTTCCAAAATTGTGAATGCCTTAGCATCTAGCTTAAAACATGAAACAAATTCAATCATTTGAAAGTTGTTGCATGATGCTCAGGTGACCTATAAGGCCCGTGGGCCTCTTGTTTTAAATGCTGATGCTGATGCTAGCTCTATCCTGATCCTACTTATGCTGATCCTGATGCTGGTTTATGTAACAAAATTAGTTCCCTGTACTGTACATCTAATAACATCCATAGAGGGTCACGTCAGAAATCATTCGGAACAGCTCTAGACTTAATCGCTTCAACGATAAACGATGATTTTGCAGGCGACAATTTAATTGGTTGATTGAATTTGACCTCTGACGTGACTTTCAATGGTATTTTGTTAGATGTTAGTGTAGTGAGTATGCGAGCGGATCTAACATCTAATTTTAATTACATGTAGATTGGAATTTACCTGAACAATAATACAGGAATTTGAAATATAAATCACATTTGCGATGAAAGGCAACATGAATAAAAATGTAAATGTAAGCATATGTAAATTATTATCCTCTTAAAAGTATAGATATATAACATTGTTGCATTTTTTTTTTACATTCTGTCTTAAAGTTTCAAGCACATTGACACTCATTGGAAATCAGTTTTCAATTTGCCGTCACAATAAAACAAATAAATCCATCTAAGTGCTGGTCAGTAACAACATATTTTTATAACTCAGTAAGAAGGTTTATTTTCCCAACAGCATCTTAATCAAGTTCTTCATATGTATCTGTTTTGTCGATGGTTTCAAGTTCAGCATAATCCGATGTGACCCTATTGTGAAAGAAGAAGTTATATTCATACGCATATATATTTTCGGAACCTTGTGTACATTATACAGTTCATGAGAAATTTAAAAGAATATACTTACTTATCTTTGCTGTTACATTCATCTAAAAATAAATAAATATTAAAAAGTTGTACATTTGAGATTTTAATGAAGATTGAAGTAAGAGATTATTTATTCTACCACAATTATTGGCGACTTCAAAGAAATACCGCGGACATTATTCTCCAATAAATCACGAACGTCATCAAAAAATTATCAGATCAGAAAAACGTATCAAACTTGAACAATTCAATTGCATGTTTGGCTGTAGAATGAAATACTTGTTTAGACCACGTCGATGTGTCGTGTTTTGCAGTATAAACACTGTAAATTGCATAAAGTTGCTGATGAATGTCGTTTTTTATAGCTAAGCAGGCTATTCAACGGCCGTATTTTACCAATTACAATAGACATGGTAGAATAGAATTAAAGTCCTTGTTATCATGAATGATGCAGAATACCCTCCTCGGTCTCGAAATGTTGTTTGAAATATAAAAGCCTCGGCTAACACCTCGGCTTTTATCTTTAAAAAAACATTTCTCGACTACCTCGGAGGTTATTCTGCAACGTACCCGAAAACACGGACTTTATTTATTAAATACTCATTCTCTATAAGCATTTGAACACCTTTACATTTATTGAAGCACGCGAGAGTTTAACTCTCATTTTATGTTGTTTTCAAGATCTGAAACACTTTATAATGTCTCTTGTATTTATTTGAATAAAATATTTACTTCCCAACCCAGCGTATTGGTTAAAGTGTCTGCTCTAGAGGAGCGAATGTTGATCCTTGAGTCAAAGTTTTTACTAAACTTTATCATAGTTTCAAATTATTCTAAGCAGTTTAATAACTTTTCTACTTATATGATATTTTTTTCAATATTTAGCTGTTTAGGCGATCGATATGGGTTGGTTGGGGTTTATTATTGCTGCACATTTGGTTTTAAAATACAAAGAAGTTTAATCAAATACAATATTTACATTTATAGAATGAAAAAAAATATGATTGAAGTTAATGATCAAGCAGATATTTTGCTTCTAAATAACGCAAATTTTATTTTATAGTTTATATTCTTATTATATTAATTAGTATACATGTGTATATATAATATATATAAACAAAACTAATGTTACATTTGCATAACATTAAAATTATATAAACTTAATAAATATTGCTTATTCATCGTTACGAGAGACATCCTTTACATTATTATTTATTTATTTTACATTATTCAATACGTAAGAGTTCGAATTTTTAAAAAAAAATATGTCATGTATTTTAACCTGAAATATAAGATATAAAGAATGTGAATTAAAAACAAAGTTCCAACGTTTTTATCATAGTAAATCAAAGATCCAATAATTTCACTTTAGTAAATAAAAGTTCCCGAGTTCAAATGTTTTCATTATAGTTTTACTATATAGTAAATAAAATCCCACATTTTTATTAGTGAATCAAAGCTCAAATTCCAAAGTTTTAACTTTAGTAATTTAGTTAACTATAGATAACTATAGTATTTTTGTTAGGGACAGCAATGCTACTAGATTTTCATGCGACATTCATTCTGAAATCGATTCTGTCCTTTGGCTTTTGATCTGCTCCGAGCTGGTACTTTTCCTATGGATTTCTGAGCTTGGAACCTATTCGCTACTGTTAAAATTATCTGTGTCTATGCAAGAAAAGTGAACGAGCTTACAGAGTATGTCTTTCATATAAGAAAATTATTATGACATTGTCAAAATTAATTTACCTTGAAAATTGAAGTCAGAAAGCTGGCCCTTTGGTTTCATTTCCCTAAAAATTATTTGTAATAGATATTATTTAAAATTTGCTTTTCTTTTTTCACCTTTCATGAAGGTTTTTCTTACCTTGACAATATTTTATTAACAGTAAAGACAACTTTTAGGGGTCCCGAACATCTATAAATATTCGTAAGAAAGTTTAAAATTTCTAATACTAGTATTATTTTTCATCAATAAAAACAATAGAGCCACATAGAAAATTGATTGAAGTATGAAGCGCTGCTTATTTTTTCAGAAATGATTTTTATATCAGATCATAATACGAAGAAATTTCAACACAGAAACCAGAAGGAGTAACAATTTATTTTCACGACAAAAAGTTTAAAATATGAGATGTATATGAAAATAATACTTTGTATCATACCTATTAAATAATGTTAGAAAACAACGTAAAGCGCTGCTTTCTTAGTCATATCACAATGATGTATGTAGTTGTAAGAAAAAAATGCATCTGTGAAGAGGAGTTAACTTTCTTTTAAATATTTCTTCATGCGAAAAAATGTAATACTAATCAAAATTCTGTATTATTTACTTGAAACATTAAACCATTTTTAAAATGGTCCTCAAAAATATATCTTAATAAGGCTTTTAAAATTGGTTTAAAATGTTTTTTTTTTTTGGTTATATATCATAAAAAATTTGGACAAAAATTGTAAAAAGAAATAGAAGGTAATGTTGCCATCGTATGTTCGATTTAATCGAATTGATTATATAGAAAAAAAATACAAAACAACACAGTATCAGTAAAAGAAATCACTGTTGTTTACTTCCCCAGAGAAATTACATGTAAATAACATGTTCACTTATTTTCCATTGACCTTTTTAAAATGTTAAAGAATTCTTCGATTGATTAAAAATTGTGTAATATAATGTTAATTTCTATTTTTTAGAATTAAGATATAAGGGCAGATCACTCTAATTGCAAAAAAAAAACAAAAAACTCTTTAGTGTGCAGTGTAAAGAGGGTTCTTAGGTATCACGTAAAACATGAAAGAAATACTGAAAATTACCTTCCATGTCCTGCATTTACTAAAATAAAGAAATATACATGTACATAATAAAAAGAAGCATTAATTTTCTTTAACTTGTTGCAATTTCAGAGATGTTTGTACTTAGTATTTTCGTCTTGTTCATTTCAAAATGCACATATACATATGATTGTATACATAAAATGAATAAACATTCATTTTATTTTTTGTTTTAAGTTAGATACTCACATTTCTTCCTTCGGCGAACGATATAAATAATGACGTTGCTAATTAAAACAATGAACAAGGTTACCACGGAGTTGACAATGATAGTGGTGAACATATTTGAGCTCTCCGCGGCACAAGGGCAGAGATTTCCTGAAGCAAGAACTATAAATACTAATTAAAATTGTAACCAGGTATCTTTTTTCATTCGTAAAACCTTAAGGGGAAATGCTGACACAAGTTCTTGTAAGAAATCTTTCATTCACATTATTCAGTTACAAAACGAAGAACTATGAGCCTTGTTATTACCCAGAAAACCAATATAGATGCATATGCAACTAGGAATCAAACGAAATTCAACATTTTATTCTTGTTCTGTGAGATGATAGAACTTATCTAATATATCCAAAATGTATGACTGGTGAGTGTTCATACTGTGTGAAGACTGTAAACATGAAAGCAACCGTAAAATTAATACAAAGAATTTTCGAACCTACTATTGCTTTTTTTTTCGAGGAATCTGAATCTCGCAAGGTAATTGACCATAACATTCTTCACAGTTGTGACTGAAGAATGATTGAACACACGAGTTCGGAGGTTTTAACTGTAAAAAAAAAAATCTGGAAAAAATCATATTCTCAGCTGAAAAGAGAGGCCCATGGGCCACATCGCTCACCTGAGCACTAAGAGTAAGAAAAAGTAGAAAATGGTTTTTTATTGTAAAGTTTAAATCCAAAAGTAGTCCCATGACCAATTATGGATTTGCTATTTTTTAGAAAATGATTTTTAAAGAATTTTCCTATATATATCTTTGAAAACTTTGGTCGGCCATTTTGGACCCGCCTTACCCCCGGGGGTCATGATTTGAACAAATTTGAATCTACACTACCTGAGCATGCTTCCATATAAATATGATGAATTATGGCTTTGTCATTCTTGAGAAGAAGATTTTTAAAGAAATTTCCTATATATTTCTATGTAAAACTTTGGTCGGCCATTTTGGCCCCGCCCTACTCCCGGGGGTCATGATTTGAACAAACGTGAATCTACACTACCCGAGGATGTTTCTCCATAAGTTTCATCTTTCCTGGCACAGTGGTTCTTGAGAAGAAGATTTTTAAAATATGCCACCAAATTTTCATTTATTCCCAATTATCTCCCCTTGAATGAGGCCCTTCATTTGAATAAACTTGAATTCCCTTCACCCAAGGATACTTTGTGGCAAGTTTGGTTGAAATTGGCCCAGCGGTTCTTGAGAAGAAGTCGAAAATGTGAAAAGTTTACAGACAGACATACACCAGACAAAATGTGATCAGAAAAGCTCAGATGAGCTTTCAGCTCAGGTGAGCTAAAAAAAAGAATGGCACCTAAAAAAAATATCTGGGTTTGGCGTCTTAAGAAGCATGTTCTTAAAATAAAATAAGTTTAATCTTCAAACTCTTCAATATGAAATTGTACATTTTAAAATTGCTTACATGGATCTTAAGTACTTTGTGAAACTTAAAGTAAATTCTCTTCAGCAGATATTTTGAGATTTTTGTGATACTGTAAATTATATACAATACAAAACAAAGTTAATCTATCATCTGACTTCGGCCTGAAACGTCATTTTATTGTTATATTGTTATTTTTACCATATATACAAACTTCCGACTCCTAAAAAAATAAGGCAAGTTTAAAATATTTTAATGAACTTTAAAAACTAATGATTTTCAATGAGAATTTAATGAGAAAATTCCGCTAAGTAAAAAATATGTTTAAAAAGTTAATTCAGAGAGTTATTTTGAAAGATATTTAACCAGATTTTTTTTTCTTATCCTGGCTTTTTTAAATTCTACTTTGATCAATCTTGCATTTATTTGCCCAATTCAAAAATACGTTACCTTACAAAACCAGGAAAAAGTTGCTCAAAGTCAAGTGATCATCGCGATGTCAAGTGTTATCTATGTTTAATTACATTATTTTTTTCAGGAAAAAAAAGGTTTTGTTTCATCCCTGGTAAGTGTGCACGTAGTTTATAAGCCAATGATTTAACTTATTTTCTTTCTTCAGACCAAGGTTATCTCTGACAAAATAACATAATTCCGTCTTCACTGATTGTATTGTTAACACCGTACCTGTCTCACATAACCTCCCCGTCCATCCATACTGACACCCTCCATCACATTCCCCTGTTACACTGTTGCAGCTGTTTGGTAACCGACAATTGTTGCTGCATTTTTGTGTACAGTTCTCACCGAAGTAGCCCTTGCCACATCCTTGGAAATCAAGAAAAGTACATTTTTAGTTAATTAAATTTATTAAAGAGTATTAAGTTTACCTCTTATAGTTCTTTTCTTCTTAACCATTTCCAGGAGGCATATAATACAATGTAGTTATACATAATGCCATCGATAAACAAGAGGCCCATTGACCACATCGCTCACTTGAGCACTGTAGTTCGGGAAAAAGCAGAAATCAGCTTATTACTGAAAATTTTAAACCCATAAGTGGTCCTAAGCAATCCTTAAAAGGGAAAGGGTATGATTTGAACAAACATGAATCTACACTAAATAGGGATGATTGCATATTTCTTTGGCTACAGTTGTACCTGTGGCTTTATTGCCCTTTACATTTGGACTTACATTGTGCCCCCCCCCCCCCCCAGGGTGATGACTTAGACAAACTTGAATCTACACTACCTAAGAATGCTTCTATGTATATGACTAATCATGGCTTTGTCATTCTTGAAAAGAAGATTTTAAGGAATTTTTCTATGTAAAACTTGGATTCCATGTTGTGACCCCGCCCTATATACGTACTCCTAGAGGTCAGGATTTGAACAAACTTCAGTCTATATGTACACTACCTAAGGATGCTTCCATATAAATATGAATTATCATGGCAATGCTGTTCTTATTTTTAAAGATTTTTTTTTCATATATTTCTATGTGAAACTTTGGTCAGCCATTGTAGCCCTACCCTACCCCCGGGAATCATGATATGAACAAAATTGAATTTACACTACCTACGTGTAGGTGCTTTCCTATAAGTTTCATCTTTCCTGACACAGTGTTTCTTGAGAAGATTTTTTAAAAATGTTCCTATATATTTCTATGTGAAAATTTGTTCGGCCATTGTGGCCCCGCCCTTCCCCCGGGGGTCATGATTTAAACAAGTCTGAATCTACACTACCTGTTTCCATATAAATATGATCATTCATGCCTTTGCTATGCTTGAGAAGACGATTTTTAAAGAATGTTCCTATATATTTCTATGTGAAAATTTGATCGGCCATTGTGGCCCCGCTATACCCCCGGGGGTCATGATTTGAACACATCTGAATCTACACTACCTGAGGATGTTTCCATATAAATATGATCAATCATGCCTTTGCTATTCTTGAGAAGATTTTTAAAGAATGTTCCTATATATTTCTATGTAAAACTTTGATCAGCCATTGTGGTCCCGCCCTATCCCCGGGGGTCATGATTTGAATAAACTTGAATCTACACTACCTGAGAATGCTTCCCTACAAGTTTTATCTTTCCTGGCACAGTGGTTCTTGAGCAGCAGATTTTTAAAGAATGTTCCGATATATTTCTATGTAAAACTTTTGATCGGCCATTGTGGCCCCGCCCTATCCCCGGGGGTCATGATTTGAATAAACTTGAATCTACAGTACCTGAGGATGCTTCAATACAAGTTTCATCTTTCCTGGCACAGTGGTACTTGAGAAGAAGATTTTTAAAACAAACCACCAAACAAAGAAGATGGGCGCATTTGGCGTGTCATCTGCAGAAATCATTTGTACGAAACATTTATGGTTTAAATGTCGATGATTTGGTTGGCTGAACATAGCTGGACAGATTTTGCAAACACGTCCATAGGTTTTTTTATTCATTTAGTTTGAAAGACCTATTCAGATTGTAACATTTATGTCCGTTTTTCCTAGGGGGTACTATAACATAGGAAGGTTTCACAAAAAATAAACACCTAAAATATTTAATGCATAGATGCATGATACGTGCACATGTTACAGTATATTACATGTATAGAATACTTAGAAGATCGGAATTGATTTCGCTCGAGAACCAAATTGAAAAAAAATTTATCTGATTCAAAAGTTTAATACATCGGTACATATAACGAAACTGACAAAATAAATGGTTGTTTGCATAAAGAAAAAAATTAACGCCCCATGCCAGGTTCGAACCAAAAACATTTCGCTTTGAGTGCACTGAACAGGTACATGTAGCCCAACTTACTGGAGAGAAGACCCTGATATAGAATTTTTTTTTAGTAAAACATGTTTTAAAATGTACAAATTTATACCAAATGTCTGATCTGGCCAATTTTCAAGTTATTTTTCAGCAAATCAAAGCTCAATTTCGGGAAAATATTTTCCTTTCCTGTTGCACAGGAACTTGATAAATAAAAAATTGTTAAATTTTCATGTGACATGTCGATAAAATTTTCACTTTTCAATTACGCCCAGATTCCTGCCGAATGCCAATCAAAAGCGCCCACGTTCTTTTGGCTTACTTTGGCGTTTTGATTATAGTCCGCTAAAATTTTAATCGCTAAAATAGTCAGTACTCTTTTAAGAATTCATCTCCAAAGAGTTGAAACCTTGTGCCAGTTAAAATACATTACGATTAAATCATTGGTATAACTTTGAGCAGACAAAACGCCAAATTTTACACCCGCCAAGAGAACCCGCTATACGATATTCCTGAATTATCTCCCCTTGAATAAGGGCGTGGCCCTTCATTTGAACAAACTTGAATTCCCTTCACCTAAGAATACCTTGTGCCAAGTTTGGTTGAAATTGGCCCAGTGGTTCTTCAGAAGAAAATGAAAATGTGAAAAGTATAGGACGACAACAACGACGACTACAACATAAACGACGAAGACGACAGACAACGGACAAGTTTTGATCAGAATAGCTCACAGGAGCATTCGGCTCAGGTGAACTAAAAAAAATATTTGTTGCCCTCTCCCGACCGACTAATTATTTCCCAACTCAAACGATTTTTTTTTCATTTTGTTCAATTTTTCCGTCGATAATAAGGTTTTATATTATCGCTGATACGTATGTCCGTAGTTTATAAGCCAATGTTTTAACTTATTTTCTTCCTTCAGATCAAGGTTATCTCTGACAAAATAACATAATTCCGCCTTCACTGTTTGTATTGTTAACACTGTACCTGTCTCACATAACCTCCCCGTCCATCCATACTGACACCCTCCATCACATTCCCCTGTTACACTGTTGCAGCTGTTTGGTAACCGACAATTGTTGCTGCATTTTTGTGTACAGTTCTCACCGAAGTAGCCCTTGCGGCATCCTTGGAAATGATGAAAAGTACATTTTTAGTAAATTAAATTTATTTCAGAGTCTTAAGTTTACCTCTTATAGTTCTTTTCTTATTAACTATTTCCATGAGACATATAAAACAATGTAGTTATACATAATGTCATCTATAAAAAATGTTTGGTTGCCCTCTCCCGACCGGCTAATTTTTCCCAACTCAAACGATATTTTTTTTTTCATTTTATTCAACTTATCAGTCGATAAATATGCTGACATTTTCTATGAAAAACATCCTCACCTACCTACCGCCTCATTAATTTTATTCTGGAGTCGGTAGAGGGCACGCAAACATTATTTTGAAGAGGACTTAAACTGATATATGGTATAAATTTTATATTGTTATAACTTTATTCATTTATTATTTCTTTTTGTATTTAAAAAATGAATATATTTAAAAGAAATTTATATTATTGTTTTCACGGCAACACCATTGTACAAAAAAAAAAAAAAACAAGAGGCCCACGGGATTTTTAAGTCATCTCAGTAACATGTCAACTTTCCAGCAATTGATTTTAAAAAGGCCATGAAATTCAAAATTTTGAAAGAGGCACCATAATTTATGATAACTATTCACTTAGCATGCTTACTTTGCTTACTTAATACCCAGAGGTAGATCATATTAACGAAGAGAAAATGCATTTCCACTTATAACCAACAGTTGCGCACCCCAACCCACAGGAACCCCAGTTACTGACCCTTGGGTCACATATTTTAAAATGTTGGGAAATTTTATTTCATCATAAATGGTTGATTAAAACCAAAGAGCATATTTCGAAGCATTAATTGATTTTCAAACCATGTATCCCCCACCCCCGCGGTACCCCTAATCTAAGGGCACTGAAATAAACCATTTTGGAACAGGCACGTTTCTTCATCATAAATAAGAACCTAGATCATTTGCTTAATACCCATGAGCAACGGAAAAAAAATTTCTAAAGAATTAATGCATTTTCAATATATAATCATAAGAGACCCGCCCTAACACCAGAACCCTCGGCCCAGGGACCATGGAATTCAGCAACATCACTTACATCAGCTGTTTGTCACGTGACACGTTAAAATTAGAAACAAAATGTACGACAACAAAGATCGTAAAAGTTCAACGATATACGAATAATTGTTGACTATGAAATTGATTGTATTTTGTTAAGGACAAAATCCTTAATCCGAGAAGTGCTGGGAGCAACTTTCTCATTCTAAGGAATAATATAAAATTTAGCCGTCTTTTAAAAAACTTCGTACAGTAAGATTATACGCATTGAAATAATGTGAAACAAGAGGCCCAGGGGCCTTGAATCGCTCTTCTGATAAATTGTACAATCTATCACGTCTATTAGAAGCCTCCAACTCTATTAGTATCATAAGACCCAAAATGCATCAACTTACAAAGTTTGATAATATTTAGCCAGTTAAGACTGAAGATATTATAATATAATTATAAAATACCATAAGTAGGTCACAGTGACCTACATTTTGATTGAAAATATTCCAAAGTAGGCCATGACCTACTTTTTGGTCAACATTCTCTGAAAACCCAAGATGCATCATCTGACAAAGTTTGAAGATTCTAAACCAATTAGTACCAAAGATAATTAAATATAGCCATCAAATGTTAAAAGTAGGTCACGGTGACCTACATTTTGGTTGACGTTTCCAAAAACCCAAGATGCCTAAGCTGACAAAATTTGATGATTCTAAGCCGATAAGTACCTGAGATATTCAAAAGTAGGTCACCGTGACCTACTTCTTGTTGGACATTCAATGAAACCCTAAGATGCCTCAACTGACAAAGTTTGATAATTCCGAGCCAGTAAGTACCAGATATAATTAAATATAGCCATAAAATGTCAAAAGTAGGTCACAGTGACCCACTTTTTGGTCGACGTTCTCCGAAAACCAAAGATGCCTAAACTGACAAAGTTTGATGATCTAAGCTAATACCTGAGATATTCAAAAGTAGGTCACTGTGACCTACTTTTTGATCGACATTCTCCGAAAACCCAAGATGCCTCAACTGGCAAAGTTTGATGATTCTTAGCCAATAAGTGCCTGAGATACTTAAATATAGCCATAAAATGTCAAAAGTAGGTCACCGTGACCTACTTTTTGGTCGACAATCTCCGACAACCCAAGATGCATCAACTGACAAAGTTTGATGATTTTATGTCAATAAGTACTAGAGATACTTAATTATAGCCATTAAATGTCAAAAGTAGGTCACTATGACCTATTTTTTGGTCATCACTCTCCGAAAACCCAAGATGCATCAACTCACAAATTTTGATAATTCTAAGCCAATAAGTACCGGAGATACTTAAATCAAGCCATAAAATGTCAAAAGTAGGTCACCGTGACCTACTTTTTGGTTGTCACTCTCCGAAAACCAAATATGCATCGACTCTCAAAGTTTGTTGATTCTAAGCCAATAAATACCTAAGATACTTAAATATAGCCATAAAATGTCGAAAGTAGGTCATCGTGACCTACATTTTGGTCGACATTTTTCAAAGACCCAAGATGCATCTACTGACCAAGTTTGATGATCGTAGGTCTGAAGGTAATCAAAATATGCATTTTAAACAATTTGAAAACAAATGTCGGCAAAATTCAAAAAAGTAGGCCACAGTGACCTACTTTTTCATAAATATGTTTTAAGGTCCTAAGATACATCAAAGTACAATATTTGATGATTCTAAACCTCCCAATGTCTGAAATAATGGGATTTAATGTTTTTAAAAAGATAAGTTAAAGTTCAAAAAGTAGGTCACGGTGACCTACTTTTAAGTTGACATTGATTGAGGACCCAAGATGCATCAACTGACAAAGTTTGATGATCATAGGCCTTAAAGTGTCCAAAATATGCCTTCAAATCAATTTGAAAACAAATCACGGTGACCTACTTTTGAGTAACATGATGTGAAGTCGTAAGATGCATGAACTTACAAGATTTGATGATCCTAGTCCTTATAATAAGCAAAATATACACGTTTTTTTAAATTGTAAATTTAGGCCAACTTTGAAGTGACCTTTGCCCCAGGGTGATTCCCCGTGCAAATTTTAATTTTTGACATATCCTGATTCTTGTATGTAAGTTTGGTGAAAATCTGCACGGTGGTTATAGAGAAGAAGATTTTTTAGCAACCAGTACTTTTGGTTTTGTTTTCCTGATTATCTCCCCTTGTTTAAGGGTCCCAACCCTTATTTAATATAAATGGTAGCCCTTGGGCCAAGGATACCCTGTGGCAAATTTGGTACTGATTGGCCAAGGGGTTCTTGAGTTATGGCCCATATTCTAAAAAGTTTACGCACACCGCACAAATGGCCATAGCATTAGCTCTTTGAGCCTTTGGCTCAGAAGAGCTAATTACGGAAAAAAGCAACAGCGCACCCATTAGGACAACTGGTTCAAACCTGCTGAGGGAGACCCCCCCCCCCCCTCCCCCAAAGAAGCTGTGATTTCATTGTGAAAAAAAATCATATTCCAATTATAACAAGAGGCCCAGGGGCCACAGCGCTCACCTGAGCACATCGGGCTTGAATTTATCCCCCCCCCCTCCAGGCGTTCATCATTTGAACAAATTAGAATCTACACTACCTGAGGATGATTCCATATAAATATCACTAATCATAGCTTTGAAGAACTTGAAAAGAAGATTTTAAAAGGTTTCTCTATATATCCCTATGTAAAACTTGGGTCGGCCATTTTGGCCCCACCCTAGCCCCGGGGGTCATGATTTGAACAAAATTGAATCTACACTACCTGAGGATGATTCCACATGAGTTTCATCTTTCCTGGCCCAGTGGTTCTGGAGAAAAAGATTTTTAAAGATTTTTTCTATATATTCCTATGTAAAACTAGGGTCGGCCATTTTGGCCCCATCCTTGCCCGGGGGGTCATGATTTGAACAAACTTGAATCTACACTACCTGAGGATGATTCCACATGAGTTTCATCTTTCCTGGCCCAGTGGTTCTGGAGAAAAAGATTTTTAAAGATTTTTTCTATATATTCCTATGTAAAACTAGGGTCGGCCATTTTGGCCCCATCCTTGCCCGGGGGGTCATGATTTGAACAAACTTTAATCTACACTACCTGAGGATGATTCCACATGAGTTTCATCTTTCCTGGCCCAGTGGTTCTGGAGAAGAAGATTTTTAAAGATTTTTCCTATATATTCCTATGTAAAACTTGGGTCGGCCATTTTGGCCCCACCCTTGCCCCGGGGGTCATGATTTGAACAAACTTGAATCTACACTACCTGAGGATGCTTCCACATGAGTTTCATCTTTCCTGGCCCAGCGGTTCTGGAGAAGAAGATTTTTTTAAAATGCCATTAATTTTTAACAAATTCATGATTATCTCCCCTTGGAAAAGGGCGCGGCCCTTCATTTGAACAAACTTGAATCCCCTTCACCCACGGATACTCTGTGCCAAGTTTGAATGAAATTAGCCCAGTGGTTCTTGAGAAGATGAAAATGTGAAAAGTTTACGACAACAACAACAACGACGACGCCGACGACGACGACGACGACAGACAACGGACAAATTTTGATCAGAAAAGCTCACTTGAGCCTTCGGCTCAGGTGAGCTAAAAACAATGATATTTCAATAAATACTTAAAAACACCTCGAACAAGCCAGGCGCGTAGCATCGTTTTTGAAAGTGGGGAGGGGGGGGGGGGGCAGCCAGAGAATTTTTTTTTTGATTTCCTAAAAATGTTGACAAGCAAAAAAAAAGGAAAAAGTTGCCCTAAACCGTAAATCCTATTTGGTTGGGGGGAGGGGGGGTATTGGTAAACTTTTTTTCAGTGTCAACTACTTTCAGTAACATTCTAATACTACATTTTCGGTACATCACTCAAAGTGGGTGGGTGGGGGGGGGGGGGCAACCAGCCCCCCCCCCCCCCCCTGTTGCTACGCCCCTGCAAGCCCCTGTGCACCAAGATGCAATTTTTTAACTTCATTAAGAGGGAAA